CCAGTTTGAAATGCTAGAATCTATATATTTGTTAAAGATGAATCATTTGAATCATTTCATTTGGGTCTTAAAAAATATGAGAACCAAACTAATTTTCTTTAGCAGGCAGCAAGCAAACACCTGTTGCATTCTTTAGTATTTTTTTTTTAAATCTTAAACATATTTTAGGACCTTCTTATCATTAGTTAAGTTAGCCCACATGTTTTACAAATTTATTCAGTCTACCAGCAATCTCTCTTACCTTTATTTCCTTCCCTAATAACTCATTCTCCCCTCTCTGTTTTTCTGAATACTTGTTGGTTTCTTCAGTCGCTATTTAAAAGTAGGCGCCTGAAGTTTAAAGACTGAAATTATTGTTTGCTTTTAGTTGGTGCCTTTAAATTAAATGTATGCTAGTTTTTTCAAATGCTTTTTCTGACTTCCATATATCTACAGGGTTCTTTCCAAAATGAAAAACCATCGATATCTGCTTTTTCTATCATATTTTTCACATTTGTGTTTATAGACGAATATATAAGGTGCCTAGGATGCATATATTCTATGGTAGATAGATGTCTGATAATACTTTTGTTACATTTGCATTTGTTTTGATGCGTCTATTTCTGTTCCCTCCAAGCCTAGCTTACAGAGGTTCAACTAAACTTCCCATCACCTTTCAAGTTGGTCTTGCAGCATATACAGGGTGTTATTGAAATACACGTACATATTAAAACTGGGTATTGCGCAGATCCCTACTGAATGTAGAAAAATATTATTTTTTAAAAATACCCCTTATTAAGGGAGTTATTAATTTTTGAAAATTAATTCTAAAACAAACGTACTTCACTGATATGTTGAGGATGACCTATATAAATTAGGTTTATTTACCTATTTTAAACATCAACAGTAATTAATATGCAAGTTTTTGTCAGATGATAAGAAAACTAGTCTTGTAAGAAATAACCATGTTGCCAAGATTTTCGAATTAATTTCTATTTCCGAAGACTGGTTTTTACTACCCTCGTTATCAAAAAACTAGAATATTTGATAAATGATTGTTTTTAAACTATACATTTTTGAAACTATAGATTATTAAAATTTTAGTTGATTTACGAATCTGGCTAACACGAGCGCGTCATTTCCAAGTTGGTAAAAAGTGTTGTTACGATTACTTTTAAATATTTTTTTACGATGCCACTATTTACGAATATTGAACTAACGGATATAGTGCTTATGGTTTATGGGGCAGCTGGAGAAAATTCTCGGCAAGCACAAATCCTGTATCGCGAACGGTTTCCAAATCGGAGAATTCCGGACTGTCGTACGTTTATTTCAACTGTTCAGCATCTAAGAGACCATGGAAAATTTGAGAGTGTCAATGCAGATCGAGGGAGAACAAGAACACAAAGAACATTGGCGGCCGAAGAAGAAATATTGGAAGCTGTTGAAAACCGGCCTCAATTAAGTTGTAGAAGACTAGGTCTTGAAATTGGAGTGTCCTCATTTGTTGTGTGGCGGACACTTAAAGAACAAGGTTTACATCCTTATCACATCCAAAAAGTCCAGGCCTTATATCCAGGTGATGAAGAAAAGAGAGTGGAGTTTTGTGAATGGATGATTCAAAAATGTGTTGATATTCCTGATTTTCTAAAAATATTATTGTATACTGACGAGGCTTCATTCACTCGTGATGGCGTGTTCAATATGCACAATACGCATATTTGGAGTGATGAAAATCCTCACGCCATTAGGGAAACTGGGCATCAAAGAAAATTTTCAATAAATGTTTGGGCTGGCATAATAGATCAGTATTTAATCGGGCCTTATGTTCTCCCGAACAGATTAAATGGGCCAGGATATCTCCACTTTTTAGAAGATATTTTGCCAGTACTCCTAGAAGAGATACCGTTACAATTAAGGCAACGGATGTGGTACCTACTAGATGGCGCTCCTCCTCACTTTAATTTAAACGTACGGCAGTTTTTGAACATTAGATTTCCTCAAAAGTGGATAGGCAGAAATGGACCTACTAAGTGGCCTCCGAGATCTCCGGACTTAAATCCATGCGATTTCTTTTTGTGGGGTCACATGAAACAACTGGTTTATAATGAACCTATTAATAGTGTTGAACAATTAACCAATAAAGTTAATGCGGTAGCCGAGGAACTACGACAAAATCCAAGACTAATTTCTAATGTTCAAAGTTCTTTGGAAAGACGATTGCAAGTGTGTGTAAATAATAATGGACGGCATTTTGAACAATTACTGTAATAAACTTTATTTTGAATTAATTGGTTTTGCTACGGCAACAGTGCAATTTCTATGGATAAGTTCAATTTCGATTTATTTTACTTCTTTAAATATGGAAACTAGTAGGTCGGAAAAGGGGACTCTTCCCCAATATTTAAATTTTAGAATTTGAAGTTAAAATTGGTGCCAATCGTTTTTGGTCATTACATACTATTCCCCATTTTAATATGTACGTGTATTTCAATAACACCCTGTATAAATAGCTGTCGGTTTTATTTGATGACGTGACTAGTCACTAAACTTTTTGGTTCGGAGTTTAAGGTGGATGACCCAAGCGAAAGTATTCCAGATTTTGATTTCTCAAAGAAACTTTGATATTTTGCCATTCTCCAAACCGTCTTGCAAATATTTTCCCAAGTTGTTACCATTTCTTCGTTGATTGGTTTTCCGAGAAAGATGTTACTATTAGGATCCGCTCCCAGAATATCCTCATACTAAATTTGATCCTTACTATTCGAACGTCTGTTCTGGTGAAGATGACGAGTTTAATGTATATACCTCTTAGATTTTGATTCTGAATCATCTTAAATCTATATTTAATCAATGGCTAATTCAAGTGCACATAAAGGGGCAGGATTTACCCATACAGTAATATAATCAATGAGCTTTGCGAAGCATTTTTGCGTCCTTGCATTTTATAAGCATAAGACCAGAGTTACCAGACATTTATTTGTCTATAATGCAGAATTTACATATTACCTACATTCTGCTTCCAAAGTTTTTTGAAGTTTACACTTTAAGTAGCCTTTTTCGCATTGCGGTTAGCCGGGCTAGCATCTTATAAGTATAAGATCACATAAAGCAGCCTCCTTTGTACATTTATTTGTATAATGCAGAATTTTCATATGAACTATTGTATTTTGTGGCCAAAGTTTTGCGAAATTTACACATTAAGTAGAATTATTCGCGGTGCGGTTAGCTGGGCTAAGTATAAGATCAGAGTTAATACATAAAGTAGCTTTTTCTGTACATTTATTTTGTAATAATATGCAGAATTTACACATTAAAATTTGCACATTAAGTAGCATTTTCCGCGGTGCAGTTAGCCGAGTTTGCAGTTTATAAGTATAAGATCAGACTTAACACATAAAGTAGCCTTCTCTGTATATTTATTTGGCTTAAATGCAGAAATTACACATAAAATAGCACGGTTTATTAGCTCAGGAGGCTAATCGGACTGGGAATCGTGAAATGCTCAGTATACGGAAAATGTATGAAAATAAATTATTATTATTGAAAACAATTTAAATATGACGGTAATCAAATGCAAACAAATAAAAAGTGAACTTAAAATTGTCGGAGACCCCTGGTATCTTAATAACCCAATCGATGGAAACGCAAAATTCTCGCCTATTGATAAATAAGGTTTATTTAAACGGTGTCTTGAATCGGCGATCACGACGATCGTAGAAAATAATATTTATGAATTTTCCCCAGCGTCTATCGAGAGCGTGTGTGTGAATTTAATTTTACAGAAGTTGTCGGCTTTGTTCAATAATTAGTTGTGGACGGAGAACGGAATGATTCAAATACAATTGAATGAATAAATAAAAGAAAATAAATTTTACTAATAAATCCTGGGTATGAATCAAAATTCTTGATTTGTAACACGGGTGTCCCAACTAATTATATGAAAGCCAATATATAAAAAAAATAATATACGGTTCCTACCTTAAGAAAAATAAACGGGGTTGATCGATGAACTTAATCACGGTACACGGCACTAGGTACTAACTAAGGGTGAAATGTTTTCGGCTGTCGGCAATCACGAGAGAAACGCTTAGGCGGCTTGTAAGCGAGGAGAGTTAATTCCTAGATCGGATTTAATTTATGCTTTTTCGGTAAAGCAAGATGGAAGATCAGTAGGCCCGAGTGGGAGGATACCACCACCACAGCCGACTGTTTACAATTCAGAAATACAAAAAATGTCCTTTTAGTACCTTGACAATTAAAAGTAGATAATTCATACGAAATCGACTTTAAAAATGCCCATTCGGATTTCGGCAAATATAAGAATATTTTAATCTACGAGGGTACTCGCAATTGTTGAAAAACGGTAATTACTGGGAAACAGAAATACGGGGAACTTCTACATGTTCTCAGGCAGGAATTAATTGAAATATACATTTTTAAGATGAATTAAAAATAAAATTTAGTTTAAAAAAACCAAAAAAGGTTGACAGCTGTGTGCACGTAGTTTAGATTCAAAAAGGAAAAACTTGTATTTCGTGCAAAACTTTTTTATTAATGCAAAGCGCTTTCGGCTTATTTGCCATCATCAGTGCTCATTGTCCACAACGTATCCAACAAGTTCCTGGTCATCCTCACTCCCAAAATTATAAATTTCGGGATGTTTACAACTTGCTAAATCATAATTTTATTAATATTGAAATATTAATAAAATATTAATAAAATTATGATTTAGCAAGTTGTAAACATCCCGAAATTTATAATTTTGGGAGTGAGGATGACCAGGAACTTGTTGGATACGTTGTGGACAATGAGCACTGATGATGGCAAATAAGCCGAAAGCGCTTTGCATTAATAAAAAAGTTTTGCACGAAATACAAGTTTTTCCTTTTTGGAAATAAAATTTAGTGACTTCGTCACAATATCACACTAAGAACTTTAAGTTTGTCATTCAAGAGTGACCGTCTACACGCTTATATATTGTGTAAAATGTCTTACTTAGATTTTTTGTTTTGTTTCAGTACGCACAAGAAAGTCAACATGAAAAAATCCTGCGTGGATTAGCAGTGGGTATAAGTTTCACGATGTACGGTCGTCTAGAAGAGGCCGATTCACTAATCCATCAGCTGACTTCAGATAAGGATCCAATTTTAAGACGGTCCGGAATGTATACCTTAGCCATGGCTTACTGTGGTACTGGACACAATCAAGCCATCAGGAAATTACTACACGTGGCGGTGAGTAACTTTTTTAATTTTGGTTTTGATTAATAATTGTCCTTAAAAGGAAAATTTACATTACAAACTGAAAAACCTGCGGGGCAACGGTAGTTTAGTAGGTATAAAAATTACAACCTAAGGGTGGAGCCTAAATAACAAAATTACTTATGAGACTAAACAAAATCAGCCCTAAATTAGGGAAATCAGAACCGCATTTGTTTTCTTGGTGCATTGTGAGATGTTATAACACAGTTCGATTTATTAGAGGGTTTTACATTATTTGTATATTTTAATTTAGTGACTAGCTTTCGTTAGATTAAATTACATTTAGGAGTATTTAAGTTGTGAAAGATGGACAAAATAAAACCACCATATAAATAACGAAAAAATAGACGATTTGTTCGAATGAGGTAATGTCAATTAATACAGGGTATTTATTAATTGATTGCCGATACTTAGGGGTGTGAATCTTTGGGTGATTTTGAAAAGAAAAGTTAATATCAACACCACATGTCTTAAACCTCTTAATTTTTGTGCTACAGGGTGTTATATTTTTGAGAAAAAAATTAAATAACTATTTTATCACTCCAGATATTTTGCCTGAAAAAAAAAGTGTTTTCACTCATGGTGGGTTCCAGAGCTGGGTATTTACATATACTTAATTACAATTACAAAGTACGTTTTCAAAAAAGGAATTAATTACAAGTACAAAGTACATGTTGTAAAAATAGGAATTATATTGATTTAATTATCATTTCATGAAAAAAGGAATTAGCAATTACTTTTATAATTACTTTGCCGATAAAACAATAAATTATGATAGAATTGTGGAACTATGAACCAACCGGACCAGTACAAATAAAATTTTTAAATAGGTAATTCAAAGTGTCAAACTAACAGCCGTTTGCAACAACTTTCTTAAGGATTTCTTAAAAGAGATATCTTGAGGGCGGGTTGTACAAATCTTACTTAAAGTTAAATTCGGTTTGAGGTGACACATGACAAATTTTCTATGGCATATCGCACTATGAGTACAAGACCACCATAACTCAAAAAACAATCAACTGAGAAAATGGCGTTTGAAGGTTTTAGATTTTTTTTGTTTTACAGTTTTTTTAATTGCTATCTATTAAATTTTTATTTATTTGGATTTCATGATTCTTTAAACCCTCATTTATTACCTTATCTTTAGTTATTAAGCAAAATTTTATTGACAAATTGTAAGAAATTATCAGAAAATAGAGTTATGTTGATATTGCACTAACTTTATTCGTGCTATTGTGGAATATTTGCCAAATAAGGCAGCTTGACTGTGGGGGTTCTCTTTGCTTATTTGAAACTTTCAATTGCTTATCGTAACTTAAAATGTTAACATATTAGATTTCGAGATTGTCAAAAAGTTAATTATAACACACCTATTCTATATACAGTATGGTTCAAATGAAAGGAATACATTCATTATAATGGAAGTAGTTGGTTTTCCAAAAAAATACTCGGACAGGTCAATTTTGTTTACTCAAAGCGCAATTTTTTAAGTAAAATTCAATTTTCCCCCACTTCCCATTTTTGGGTAGTGACGTCATTGACAATTTTTTTAAATAGTAACCCCAATTTTTTTTTTCTTGATTTTGTTAGATCTTGCAATTTTCTACTCGGAAACATAATATTTGAAATATCTTACATAACATTTTTTTTTGAATAAAAGTAATTTAAAAATCAGACACATAAATTTTATTTTATTTTGAGAACACAATAAATAAATAAAAGATAATTATTTGTAATTAAGTGCTTAATTAAACAAAATAATAATAATATTATTATTATTTTTTTTTTAGATGAAGCACTTGATTACAAATAATCTTTTATTTATTTATTGTGTTTCAAATTAAAATAAAATTTATGTATCTGATCTTTAAATGACTTTTATTCAAACAAAATTATTATGTCAGATATTTCAAATTATATATTTCCGAATAGAAAATTGCAAGATCTATCAAAATCAAGAAAAAAAAATTGGGATTACTATTTAAAAAAATTGTCAATGACGTCACTGCCCAAAAATGGGAAGTGGGGGAAAATTGACCTGTCCGAGCATTTTTTCGAAAAACCAACTACTTCCATTATAATGAATTTATTCCTTTCATTTGAACCATACTGTATATTAAATGGTAACAAATGATACATGTGTTATTAGGATTTTATAAACAGTAATTCATAAGAAAAGATATTTCTCATTTCATTTACTTAATATTTATACAATCATTTCTTAAATTTAATCCATTCTGCTTTTCTGAGGTTACTTTTGAAGATAAATTGAAAATTTTTAAGCGTTCTTTCGAAAAACTGTCAAAGAAAAGGTAATACAAACGAATGTATTATATACAGTGAGGAAAATTATATTCTCCTCTATTTTAACTTCTAAATGAAAAAAGATAATGACAAAACAAAAACGAGGTAAAACTCAAGAGATATTATATTTTTGTTATAACGAGAGACACATAATGGAAAGTAGGGTCATGTGATACCTCTTTTGAAAAATAATTTCTATATTTTTACGTTCATGTAAACAGATTTAGGTTTTTATGTTTTTACAGAAATTACATGCTGGTTTTTTCTCATTTCAAACACAAAAAAAAAATAAAAAAGGAGAATTTTAATATTAAATAAATCAATTTAAAAAAAGAATATTGCAACTGAAAACAATTTATTCCTCTCATTTGCCACATACTGTATATTATACTGCATTTATTTAATACACTTGACACAATTTTATGGAAAAATAAAATATAACGGCGAGTTTTTAAGTGACAGTTAAAATATCGTCCGCGTTAAAGGATATATGAACATTCGGGTTATATACTCGGAAAAAGAGTAGGTTTTGTTTCTTTTCTGACTACCACCGCAATACCGGGAGCAGCGTTGAAATTTTATGGGATCACGAAAATTCTGCAAGAATTGACAATTTTGAGTCGTGTCTGTTAAACCGCTACTTTTATATACGTATGCGAAATCCTTCTTGTTGGAGGACCACCAATCACTGTGACTACAGATGACAGCATAAAGACCGTATGTGCAGACCAAAAGTTAAATCGACTGTTTTTCGAATTGTATAGTATTTAAAAATCAAATTTTCTGCCAAATTAAAGATAAACGTTTAATTTAGGTCGTCTTACTATTGCAAAATGATACATTTCTTATTTTAAACTAAAACTAATCATTTAAAATAACCCTATTTTATTTCATCTCGAAGGTGTCGTTTATAACTACACTCACCATTCAAAATAATGATTTATTTAAAAATGCTCTAACGTTCAAATGCGGAGGCTGATTTATTTGCATTTTTTAGCAACTTTTAGATAAAATACTATAGTTTTAAGATTATTATTCGGACATCTAAAAGTAATTTAGTACTCGCCGTATATACAGGGGAGAAGAGAAAACAATTTTTCCTCTACTTTTGACACACCCTGTAGGTTATTTCTGCTAGTAGATCTGCACACAATTAACTTTATCAAGGAGACTGATTTGTTTCCAATACTTTGTTTTTTATTTATCCCGATATCTTAATTTGTTTGTGAAATGTGACGATTTAAAGAAAATGCTACATTTTAGAAACGGTCATAATTTAAATGACTGTAGAGAATAAACCACGGTGTACTATAAGGTGCATCAACTCCCATTTAAAAACAAATGAAAACTGTGATAAAACCTGGCGTACTTCCTAGCCAAAATCAGCTAGGTTCGCTAGTGTCTATCCGGCGAGAAAGTAAATAAAAGATAAAAGTAGGAGCTGCAATTTGAAAAGTGTTGACAGATAAATATTTTTTAAAATCCTAAAATATATAAATCATGGTGAATCGTTGTGCTGTTTTTAATTGTGATTATGGGCGAGAGTCTTCAGCATATTAATAGCAGTTTTATAATGCCAAAAAACAGTTATACAGAATATGGTACAAATTATTTATTGGTGATACGAAAATAAACATTGAACCCAAAAGTTCCATTTGTGAAAAATATTTTAATGTAAATTATGTTATCCGTGAAAAAGTGCTGAGAAATCTACTAGGAAACGTTATTTTTTAAGTAAATATGTTTAATGTCTACGTTTTAAATAATTGTAGGTTACGTAAATAGGTTATTCAACTTTGTCTTTTCTGCAATAAAAAGAATTATTAGCATAAAGTTTTACTATATAAATAATATTTCGTATTATTTATCCTTTCTCCTTGGTAGTAATAATGTTATGACTTGGACCCTATATAATGTGTTCATGATATAAATTTCATATACATAGGTAGGTATTTCTTTTGATGTTTTTCTGACCCGGCGAATAAATAAAATCTGACTTATTTCTTTTAGCCTGATTAGAATGCTGGTTACATGAATCAAATAGATACTATGATAAATTTATTTTACTTGTAGCCTTTTTATTTTTAAGTGTTAAATATACATTTGTTTAATAATAGTTAATCATCCTCGAATGTGTTTTGTTTCAGTTCTTTAAATGTATTTACTAGGTTTTATAGACGCACTGATTTTAAATTAATAAAAATTTGAGTTGTAATAAATATTTAAGATTTTTCTATTCTGTATTTTTATAGGAGTTAATCCTTTTAAGTAAATAATTGTAGTTCGGGGTCGAAGATGTTGGTAATTTGTGTATTGAATAATTTGTACATACACTGCTTAATAATTTAAACAATGTTTTTTCGGATGTACCTAATAATTATTTTAGGTAATCTTGTAGCTGACAGGTCTAGAAATCCGCATATTCACACCATTCCGCACTGAAGTCTATAGAATTTGACACAAATTTGAATTTTCTAAAGTATTACTTGAAAATCTACAGAATTTTTTTTTATTTTTAATTGATGTAAAAATTGGTAAACAGATGATAAAAAGTAAAAGTTATTTCAATATGCTTATTCCCTGGTTCCAAATAATTAAATATAACCTTGCAACTATATGTTCCTGCTTTCATTACTTACGATGGGACTACTTCTCAAAGGAGACGAGAA